ATTTAATCTAATCATCTGAAAATTACCAGAGTTCTAGTAGGGACTGAACCCTACACAATCCTGAAGAATAGAGAATTTTATTTCAATTTTTTAGTAGTAGCAGTTCCACCCGTACGCCATCAGACAATCAAAATTTGGTAAAAACGAAAATAAAAATTTATTTTATTCAAATTTATTTAATCTAATCATCTGAAAATTACCAGAGTTCTAGTAGGGACTGAACCCTACACAATCCTGAAGAATAGAGAATTTTATTTCAATTTTTTAGTAGTAGCACCCTCACACGAACGCCATCAGACAATCATAATTTGATAAAAAGGAAAATAAAAATTTATTTCATTCAAATTTATTCAATCTAATCATCTAAAAATTATCAGAGTTCTAGTTGGAACTAAACCCTACACAATCCTGAAGAATAGAGAATTTTATTTGAATTTTTTAGTAGTAGCAGGTTCACCCGTACGCCATCAGACAATCAAAATTTGGTAAAAACGAAAATAAAAATTTATTTCATCCAAATTTATTTAATCTAATCATCTGAAAATTACCAGAGTTCTAGTAGGGACTGAACCCTACCCAATCCTGAAGAATAGAGAATTTTATTTGAATTTTTTAGTAGTAGTAGGTCCACCCGTACGCCATCAGACAATCAAAATTTGGTAAAAACGAAAATAAAAATTTATTTCATCCAAATTTATTTAATCTAATCATCTGAAAATTACCAGAGTTCTAGTAGGAACTGAACCCTACACAATTCTGAAGAATAGAGAATTTTATTTCAATTTTTTAGTAGTAGGTCCACCCGTACGCCATCAGACAATCAAAATTTGGTAAAAACGAAAATAAAAATTTATTTCATCCAAATTTATTTAATCTAATCATCTGAAAATTACCAGAGTTCTAGTAGGGACTGAACCCTACCCAATCCTGAAGAATAGAGAATTTTATTTGAATTTTTTAGTAGTAGTAGGTCCACCCGTACGCCATCAGACAATCAAAATTTGGTAAAAACGAAAATAAAAATTTATTTCATCCAAATTTATTCAATCTAATCATCTAAAAATTACCAGAGTTCTAGTAGGGACTGAACCCTACACAATCCTGAAGAATAGAGAATTTTATTTCAATTTTTTAGTAGTAGCAGGTTCACCCGTACGCCATTAGACAATCAAAATTTGGTAAAAACGAAAATAAATATTTATTTTATCCAAATTTATTTAATGTAATCATCTGAAAATTACCAGAGTTCTAGTAGGGACTGAACCCTACACAATCCTGAAGAATAGAGAATTTTATTTGAATTTTTTAGTAGTAGCAGGTTCACCCGTACGCCATCAGACAATCAAAATTTGGTAAAAACGAAAATAAAAATTTATTTCATCCAAATTTATTTAATCTAATCATCTGAAAATTACCAGAGTTCTAGTAGGGACTGAACCCTACACAATCCTGAAGAATAGAGAATTTTATTTGAATTTTTTAGTAGTAGCAGTTTTACCCGTACGCCATCAGACAATCAAAATTTGATAAAAAGGAAAATAAAAATTTATTTTATCCAAATTTATTTAATCTAATCATCTAAAAATTACCAGAGTTCTAGTAGGGACTGAACCCTACACAATCCTGAAGAATAGAGAATTTTATTTGAATTTTTTAGTAGTAGCAGGTCCACCCGTACGCCATCAGACAATCAAAATTTGGTAAAAACGAAAGAAAAAATTTATTTCATCCAAATTTATTTAATCTAATCATCTGAAAATTACCAGAGTTCTAGTAGGGACTGAACCCTACACAATCCTGAAGAATAGAGAATTTTATTTCAATTTTTTAGTAGTAGTAGTTCCACCCGTACGCCATCAGACAATCAAAATTTGGTAAAAACGAAAATAAAAATTTATTTCATTCAAATTTATTTAATCTAATCATCTGAAAATTACCAGAGTTCTAGTAGGGACTGAACCCTACACAATCCTGAAGAATAGAGAATTTTATTTCAATTTTTTAGTAGTAGCACCCTCACACGAACGCCATCAGACAATCATAATTTGATAAAAAGGAAAATAAAAATTTATTTCATTCAAATTTATTCAATCTAATCATCTAAAAATTATCAGAGTTCTAGTTAGAACTAAACCCTACACAATCCTGAAGAATAGAGAATTTTATTTGAATTTTTTAGTAGTAGCAGGTTCACCCGTACGCCATCAGACAATCAAAATTTGGTAAAAACGAAAATAAAAATTTATTTCATCCAAATTTATTTAATCTAATCATCTGAAAATTACCAGAGTTCTAGTAGGGACTGAACCCTACCCAATCCTGAAGAATAGAGAATTTTATTTGAATTTTTTAGTAGTAGTAGGTCCACCCGTACGCCATCAGACAATCAAAATTTGGTAAAAACGAAAATAAAAATTTATTTCATCCAAATTTATTTAATCTAATCATCTGAAAATTACCAGAGTTCTAGTAGGAACTGAACCCTACACAATTCTGAAGAATAGAGAATTTTATTTCAATTTTTTAGTAGTAGGTCCACCCGTACGCCATCAGACAATCAAAATTTGGTAAAAACGAAAATAAAAATTTATTTCATCCAAATTTATTTAATCTAATCATCTGAAAATTACCAGAGTTCTAGTAGGGACTGAACCCTACCCAATCCTGAAGAATAGAGAATTTTATTTGAATTTTTTAGTAGTAGCAGGTCCACCCGTACGCCATCAGACAATCAAAATTTGGTAAAAACGAAAGTAAAAATTTATTTTATCCAAATTTATTCAATCTAATCATCTAAAAATTACCAGAGTTCTAGTAGGGACTGAACCCTACACAATCCTGAAGAATAGAGAATTTTATTTCAATTTTTTAGTAGTAGCAGGTTCACCCGTACGCCATTAGACAATCAAAATTTGGTAAAAACGAAAATAAATATTTATTTTATCCAAATTTATTTAATGTAATTATCTGAAAATTACCAGAGTTCTAGTAGAAACTGAATACTACACAATCCTGAAGAATAGAGAATTTTATTTCAATTTTTTAGTAGTAGCACCATCACCGGAACGCCATCAGACAATCATAATTTGTTAAAAAGGAAAATAAAAATTTATTTTATCCAAATTTATTCAATCTAATCATCTAAAAATTACCAGAGTTCTAGTAGGGACTGAACCCTACACAATCCTAAAGAATAGAGAATTTTATTTTTATTTTTTAGTAGTAGCACCCTCACCTGAACGCCATCAGACAATCATAATTTGATAAAAAGGAAAATAAAAATTTATTTTATCCAAATTTATTCAATCTAATCATCTAAAAATTACCAGAGTTCTAGTAGGGACTGAACCCTACACAATCCTAAAGAATAGAGAATTTTATTTCAATTTTTTAGTAGTAGCACCCACACCCGAACGCCATCAGACAATCATAATTTGATAAAAAGGAAAACAAAAATTTATTTTATCGAAATTTATTTAATCTAATCATCTGAAAATTACCAGAGTTCTAGTAGGGACTGAACCATACACAATCCTGAAGAATAGAGAATTTTATTTGAATTTTTTAGTAGTAGCAGGTCCACCCGTACGCCATCAGACAATCAAAATTTGGTAAAAACGAAAAAAAAAAATTATTTCATCCAAATTTATTTAATGTAATCATCTGAAAATTACCAGAGTTCTAGTAGGGATTGAATACTACACAATCCTGAAGAATAGAGAATTTTATTTCAATTTTTTAGTAGTATCACCCTCACCCGAACGCCATCAGACAATCAAAATTGGTAAAAACGAAAATAAAAATTTATTTCTTTCAAATTTAACAAATCTAATCATCTGAAAATTACCAGAGTTCTAGTAGGAACTGAACCCGACACAATCCTGAAGAATAGAGAATTTTATTTCAATTTTTTAGTCGTAGCAGGTTCACCCGTACGTCATAAGACAATCAAAATTGGTAAAAACGAAAATAAAAATTTATTTCTTTCAAATTTAACAAATCTAATCATCTGAAAATTACCAGAGTTCTAGTAGGAACTGAACCCGACACAATCCTGAAGAATAGAGAATTTTATTTCAATTTTTTAGTCGTAGCAGGTTCACCCGTACGTCATAAGACAATCAAAATTTGTTAAAAAGAAAAATAAAAATTTATTTTATCCAAATTTATTTAATCTAATTATCTGAAAATTACCAGAGTTCTAGAAGGGATTGAATACTACTGTTTAATTGAAAAATAATTATAAAATAAAAGATGACGGAATGATAAATTTGAAACTTGTTTATTCGAACGTTCATTTACAGAGACTGTCTTAATATTACAATTTATTGTCGTTTTAATATCGGAGAAATCCTTTTTCATGTAGTGGTGGTATCCCCAAAAGTGACCATCTTCATTGTTGTAAATCATCGGTATTGTCTGTAACAAATAAAAGAAAAGCTTCCCCTTTCTCAGAGGGCGTGTCGCTGTAGAAGGAATAGCATTGGTTGGACCAAATAATTATTGGCAACCATTCATATAAACAAAGATAGATAAATATTTATAACAATGGAAGAGGTCGACCTTGTGTAGTTAAATCACTACTGAAGTGAATTACCTGCCAGTAACAGGAGTTCAAACAAAAATTAGATACATAGAATAATTTCAAGCAATGGTTTAAACAAACCGCCCGCCTCATTCCAATTATTGGAATGATGATAGAAGTAAGATGTATTCCTTTTTCAATTTGAAATTAAAAAAATTAAGATGTAGATGTAACTTTGAATTAATCATAACAATATAAGTAATAACAAATGTAGAAGTAGAATGTAACAATTTAATGTCAGATGTAACTTTGAATCATTCATAACAATAGAAATAATAAAAAAATGCCGCCCGCCTTGAGACTTCAGTTCGTTGATTATAGATTTGTTTCTGTTTGGGTAGGTAAGACACATAATTGTGCAATGGATCTTTGAATAATACCCTTTTTAGTTTTGACTGTAACAACACGTACTAACCCGTCCTTTCCTGGGTGAATTTTAAGAACGCGACCCATTTGCCAATTTGATTTTGGAAGATTAATGTCTCTTATCAGAACTAAGTCACCAATTTTGATGTTTGGATTTGACTTCGTCCATTTATAACGCTTTTGAAGATCTTGTTGGTACTCTAAACTCCATTGTTTCCAAAATTGCTCAGTCTTTTGTTGAACTAATTGCCAACGTGTTAAAAGACTGTGTTGACTGGAAGGTAAAGATTTTTCAGGCATAGCTAGTAAGGGTTTTCCTATCAAAAAATGCCCTGGAGATAAATACGAATAATCGTCAACTTCGTTTGAAAATGCAGCAATAGGTCGTGAGTTTAGACAGGATTCTATTTGACATAGTAATGTGGTTAATTCTTCAAAAGTTAATGTGTGTGGTCCCATTATGCGATTAAGGTGTTTCTTTGTGCTTTTAATACCTGCTTCCCAAATACCCCCAAAATGTGGCGAGTATGGAGGAATAAAGTCCCAGTTGATATTAAATGCAGACATGTCTTTCGAAACTTTAGGATCAGATTTTAAGGTCTTAAAAATTCGACGTAATTCTTTATCAGCTCCAACGAAATTTCTACCGTTATCACTATATAGATTTCAAGGAATTCCACGGCGAGACACAAATCTTTTTAAAGCTGATAGAAATGTTGAAGAAGAATAGTCGCTCACTAATTCTAAATGAATAGCTCGCGTTACCATACAGACGAATAGAACTATGTACCCTTTCGTCGATTTGTAACCGCGACCTTTATTTAATTTAACTGAGATTGGTCCTGCATAATCCAAACCGCAATGAGTAAAAGGGTTTAATGGAGTTACTCTACAAGATGGTAAATTCGCCATTAACTGTGATTGAAGTGTAGCTTGATGACGGGCACACAGTGGGTGATTTTGCTCATTTTTGTGTCAAAATCGTAAAACTCTGAGCAGAAACAACATAAAAGGATAAATCTTTTTCGAGAGTATAGATTAGTGCCTACGGATTACGGGAAAAATAAACAGAAGCGTTAAAAAAAATTTTATAACCTTAAAATTTTACGTGGAAGTCAGAAGTTTCAGTAAACAATCAATATTATCCAATACTGCGCAAGTTTGCAAGTCGTTTTTCATCCAAAAAGTATTTTTCCTAGTAGATTTTGAGTCAACTTATTCGTACCTATGGTTCAAAATAATTAAAAATTATTTGGTTTTGAATAAATAAGGTTATAAATGTCATACTTTTTCTCACCTCGGCCTCGTTTAAAACAAATTAAACATAATTTTTTTGATAACTGAAGGTATTTTAGGGGTTTTTAGGGTAATCAGCGGATTACGAATCTGAAGTCAGATTTTTAAAACTCAAAATGGCGGATTCAATATGGAGGATGACATATATAAAATTTGATCGAATTGGCCTGAAATTTATTACCTGGGGGTTTTTTCGGTCGCTGATTACGAATCTGATGTTAGTTTTTTATAATTCAAAATGGCGGATCCAATATGGAGGATAATATATATATATATATATATAAAAATTGATCAAATTGGCTTAGAAGTCATTATTCGGGGGTTTTTATGGTCGCTAATTACGAATCTGAGGTCAGATTTTCAAAATTCAAAATGACGGATTTAATATGGCAGATGTCATATATATAAATTGATCGAATTGTTTTGAAATTTGTTACCTGGGGGTTTTTTCGGTCGCTGATTACGAATTTGATATCAGTTCTATGCTGTTATTTAAGAAAAAGAGAATTTATCAACGAAAAGTATATTCAAAAAAACAAATAGTAGACACTTTCTGATATGCTTTGACATTTGTAATACGGATGAGAAAATATGTCTATTTAAAAAATTATAGTTTAAACATTTGTATTTGAAAGTGTATGTGTTTATTCTTAAGAAAATATATAGCAGCTGTTAAGTAAGTAATTAATACTATCTTTTATTTATTTGTATACATTTTTGAAATATATCAATTTTGAATCCGCAAATTGGAATTTCAAAAAACTGACATCAGATTCGTAATTAGCGACCGAAAAAACCCCCAGGTAACAAATTTCAAGACAATTCGATCAATTTTTATATATATATTATCCGCCATATTGGATCCGCCATTTTGAATTATAAAAAACTAACATCAGATTCGTAATCAGCGACCGAAAAAACCCCCAGGTAATAAATTTCAGGCCAATTCGATCAAATTTTATATATGTCATCCTCCATATTGAATCCGCCATTTTGAGTTTTAAAAATCTGACTTCAGATTCGTAATCAGCGACCCCAAAAACCCCTAAAATACCTTCAGCATTGAAAAAAATTATTTTTAATTTGTTTTAAACGAGGTGAGAAAAAGTATGACATTTATAACCTCATTTATTCAAAACCAAATAATTTTTAATTATTTTGAACCATAGGTACGAATAAGTTGACTCAAAATCTACTAAGAAAAATACTTTTTGGATGAAAAACGACTTGCAAACTTGCGCAGTATTGGATAATATTGATTGTTTACTGAAACTTCTGATTCCCACGTAAAATTTTAAGATTATAAAAAATTTTTTAACGCTTCTGTTTATTTTTTCCGTAATCTGTAGGTACTAATCTATACTCTCGAAAAAGATTTATCCTTTTATGTTGTTTCTGCTCAGACTTTTACGATTTTGACACAAAAATGAGCAAAATCACCCACTGTGGGGCACAAGTCAAGCATTTATGTACAATACTACGAACTAAATTTCGACCTTTTATTATCCAAAAGTTTTGCCTAAGTAGAAACAAAGTCATTTGTGGACCTCCATGTAAGGACCTCAAATGAGTTTGCTGGGCAATAAGTAAACTTATCCGATGATTAGGTAGTATGATAGGATGCTTGGTTTCCCAAGCGATAGGAGCATTACTTAAACGACCAGAAACTCGCAATAGTCCATCTTTGTCTATAAAGGGATTAAGGGCTTTTAATGGACTAGATTTTTTTAGATTCAATTTATTCAAAGTCGCTCTTCTTTAACTTGCAAAAAACTGTGATTGAAGATTTTTAAACAAAAATAATTTAGCACTATGCATTTCAGCCTTGTTATTTACTTCTGAATTAGTGGACTGTAATTTTGTTTTGCATTTATTGATAAACTTGAAAACGAGGGCAGTAATTCTCAAAAGTTTAGGCCAACTGCTATATCTATTTGAAAGTTTATTCACAAAATCGTAAGATTGATCAGTTGTAGCCATGTGAATTTTGGTAGCAGTAGTTTTAACATCGCAGTTATAATTTAAATCAGGTAGAGTAGGCCACGTCGTAGGAGAGTCACTTAACCACTTAGGACCGGACCACCATAATTCGTGATTTAATAATTTCAATGGGTAGATACCCCTGGTAGCACAATCTGCCGGATTATCAGCAGTCGGGACATGTTTCCAAGATGCAGTTGGGATAAGAGATTGTATTGTTTCAACTCTATTGGCAATAAAAGTACGCCATGTTGAAGGATGTTTGGATAGCCATGCCAGAACAATGGTAGAATCTGACCACCCATATACAGGAACGTCGTCTAATTGTAAATCATTTACGATCTTTTTTAATAATTTAGCTAATAGGACTGCCGCACATAATTCTAATCGGGGGATAGTTAATGTTTTTAAAGGAGCTACTTTTGTTTTTCCTAGTAATAGTGACACATTTATCTTTTTTGATACGTTTTGTATACGCAAATATACTACGGCGGCATAAGCTCGCGAAGATGCGTCAGCAAAACCGTGTATCTCTATTACATCATGAGAAGTTAATCCTGTCCATCGTGGGATGGTTATTTTTTGAACGTTATTAAGTTCATGGCAATAGGATTTCCATCTTACACTTAAATCATCAGGGAGAGTTTCGTCCCAATCTAAATGTCTTATCCAAAGGTCTTGAATTATAATTTTAGCTATTATCAAAATTGGAGAAATCCAACCTAAAGGATCAAACTGTTTAGCGATAACAGAAAGAACATTTCTCTTAGTAAAATTGACGTTAACTACTGGGGACATAGAAATTCTAAATACATCATATTCTGGATCCCAATAGAGTCCTAGAACTGCTTTTGAATTAGTATCATTTAGTATCAATCGTTCGCTATATTTAGAAAGCTTAGAATCACTCAAGAGGGGCGAATTAGATGAAATTTTGTGAACCGGGAAGCCACCTTTGGCAAGAAGTTGAATAAATTCGTTTTTAATTTGCAAGGCAGTTTCTAAATCATCTGCTCCGAAAAGCCCATCGTCAACGTAGATATCATTTAATAATATTTGTTTTGCTTTTGGAAAATTATCTCCTTCGTCATTAGCTAATTGTTTTATTACTCTATTTGCTAAGAAAGGAGATGACGAGACACCATAAGTGAGTGTTAACAATTGAAAATGTTTAATTTCCTCTGTTTCGTTAAGTCTACAAATAATTCGTTGGAAATTAACATCTCTTTTATCAATTTGAATTCGACGAAACATTTTACTAATATCCGCAGTCATAACAAAACGATAATTTCGCCAGCGTATTATTATAGATGGGATGTCGGCGTGTAACTTGGGACCAGGAAGTAGTAAATCATTTAAAGATACTCCTGTTAATGTTGGAAAGGAAGCATTAAATACTATGCGTAGTGGAGTGGAGGAACTACTCACACGTATGACTATATGATATGGTAAATAATTTTCTATTTCAAAATTAGAATTTTGTTCGTCATTATAATCAATTTCAATCACATGTTTTAAATCTTTATATTCATTGAGAAAATCATAGTAATCTTGTTTTAACTCGGGATTGTTTTGTACACGGCGTTCTGTTTGTAAGAGTAAACGTTTGGCATTTTGAAGAGAATCTCCTAAACGTTCAGGAGGATCATTTTTAAAAGGGTAACGAACAACATAATTTCCTTCTTCATTTCGAGAATGTGTATTAACAAAATGCTCTTCACATTTTGTTTCATCGTCTGTAAGATTACTTTTTTGTGGAAATTCTTCAATTTCCCAAAATTTCTGCAGATCATTATGAATATCTGAAAGCCCTACACAATGATGAACGACTTTACTAGTTGGGGATACATTATTGAGTGAGTTTAAGGGACCCGAAATAATCCAACCAAATACCGTAGCTTGTGCTGTTGGTGATCGAACAGGACCTTTAATAAGACCTGGTAATAATAATGAACCGTAATAATCCGCTCCAATTATCATATCGAATTCTTTATTATCAAATGGTGTTGGGTCAGCTAAATCTAGGTCGCGAAGATGTTCCCAATCACTAAGATAATCTGCTTTTGATACAATATGATTATTGAGTTTAGGGAGTACTAACGCAGATATGGGAATTTTCTTTTCGAAATTTTGTGTTGGTGTGATAATAACGTTAACGAGTGATTTTGCAGTTCCGAGAAAAGCATTATCGATTCCAGTTACACGGATCATAGCTGGTTCTTTTTTAACCCGAAGCATTTGAACAACTCTTTCAGTTATAAATGTTACCTCGGATCCTTGATCTAATAGAGCTCTAATCTCTATTCTTTCACCGTTTTTACCAACAACACAGATTTTTGCAGTTGCTAAAAGTACTGTTTTACCGCGTATATGGTTCAAAGAAACAGTGTCGTTTTTTGGGGTACTATTAGATTCTTTTTGATTTAATACTCTTTGATCTTGTGAAACTTTTTCTACTTTTTTGGGTATTTCAAGTTTCTTATCGGCTTCGTTTTTAGATGCTTGATTAAATTTTTGATTACTGTCTGAATGGATCAAAGAGTGATGTCTCTTGTTACAATGGAAACAATTTTTTTTATTACGACAGTTTTTTGAACTGTGACCCGATTTTAAACAATTAAAACAAAGATGTTTTTCTTTAACAATTTCTTTTCTATGAACTACAGAAAGTTGTTTAAAAGAATCACAACTAAATAAATAATGTTTACCATTACACAGAATACATTTAACATTTATAGCATTCATAGAAAACGTTGAAGCTGTACTTGCTTGGTTTTGAGTAGACTTTGTAGATTTTAAATTATCTTTCGCATTTTGCAATGCTTCTAGAGTTCGGATACGGGTTGCTAAAAAACAATCAAGTTCTTCATATGAAGGGTATTCATTTTTATCACCAAGAACTTTTTCCCATTCAATTAAGGAAAATTTTCCCATTTTTCGCGAAACGACAAAGACTAATAGATCACTATCAATATTTCGACCCAAAGATTTTAGTGCTTGTACAGCTTCAGACGTTTTATCTCGTAGATTTTTTAAGTCTTTAACTGTTTCGTTCATTATAGCAGGGAGTGACATAAAATTATTCAAATATGAATTTATAATTGCTCTGGAATTTTCATACCGTTTTGTAAGAATACTCCAAGCGCTTTGATAATTTTCAGGAGTAGTACCTAAATGTTTTATTAGTTGTGCTGGTTCGCTTAATAAGCTTGATTTCAAATAGTGCATTTTTTGCACATCAGGTAAGTTGGGGTCTGATGCAACAATAGACTGAAATAAGTCTTTGAAATTTTGCCATTCTAAATAGTCGCCAGAAAATTTGGGTAATTCTATTCGCGGTAATTTAGCAATTTTTGAAGAATCAAGGCTGCTATTGGAACTTGTACTATTTCTATATAAAATCAATTGTTCTTTTTTAAGCTTTCCAATTAACTCATTAAAAGTATCTAATGTATTCAAATAAACATCCTCTGCTTGAACAAAAATATCATTAAAAAAGTAAGGAATTAACGACTTATCTGAACCATGGGCTGCTTTGATGATCTTCAAATCCACTCGCTGACAAGCATTCCATGCCGTCAACAGATATTGGCGTCGACCTTCTACTAGTTCCAAAGTAATTTGATCTTCAGAACGTTTTCGGAAGTTGACTAACGCTCTTTCAACGGCGCTGATGTTCACTTCTTGTTCAAGTATTAATTCATCCATGACGAATCACTTTTGTTTAATAATCACTCACTCGCGAAATTACACAAAAAATAAATTTAACTTTTTTAACATTTTATTTTAATTCGATTAATTAATCCGGCTCGAAGGACCTTTTTGTTTAATTGAAAAATAATTATAAAATAAAAGATGACGGAATGATAAATTTGAAACTTGTTTATTCGAACGTTCATTTACAGAGACTGTCTTAATATTACAATTTATTGTCGTTTTAATATCGGAGAAATCCTTTTTCAGGTAGTGGTGGTATCCCCAAAAGTGACCATCTTCATTGTTGTAAATCATCGGTATTGTCTGTAACAAATAAAAGAAAAGCTTCCCCTTTCTCAGAGGGCGTGTCGCTGTAGAAGGAATAGCATTGGTTGGACCAAATAATTATTGGCAACCATTCATATAAACAAAGATAGATAAATATTTATAACAATGGAAGAGGTCGACCTTGTGTAGTTAAATCACTACTGAAGTGAATTACCTGCCAGTAACAGGAGTTCAAACAAAAATTAGATACATAGAATAATTTCAAGCAATGGTTTAAACAACTACACAATCCTTAAGAATAGAGGATTTTATTTGAATTTCTTAGTAGTAGCAGGTCCACCCGTACGCCATCAGACAATTATAATTTGATAAAAAGGAAAATAAAAATTTATTTCATCCAAATTTATTTTATGTAATCTGAAAATTACCAGAGTTCTGGTAGGGACTGAATACTACACAATCCTGAAGAATAGAGAATTTTATTTCAGTTTTTTAGTAGTAGCACCATCACCGGAACGCCATCAGACAATCATAATTTGTAAAAAAGGAAAATAAAAATTTATTTTATCCAAATTTATTCAATCTAATCATCTGAAAATTACCAGAGTTCTAGTAGGGACTGAACCCTACACAATCCTGAAGAATAGAGAATTTTATTTCAATTTCTTAGTAGTAGCAGGTCCACCCGTACGCCATCAGACAATTATAATTTGATAAAAAGGAAAATAAAAATTTATTTTATCCAAATTTATTCAATCTAATCATCTGAAAATTACCAGAGTTCTAGTAGGGATTGAATACTACACAATCCTGAAGAATAGAGAATTTTATTTGATTTTCTTAGTAGTAGCAGGTCCACCCGTACGCCATCAGACAATTATAATTTCATAAAAAGAAAAATAAAAATTTATTTTATCCAAATTTATTTAATCTAATCATCTGAAAATTACCAGAGTTCTAGTAGGGAATGACCCCTACAAAATCTTGAAGAATAGAGAATTTTATTTCAATTTTTTAGTAGTAGCAGGTTCACCCGTACGCCATTAGACAATCAAAATTTGGTAAAAACGAAAATAAATATTTATTTCATCCAAATTTATTTAATGTAATCATCTGAAAATTACCAGAGTTCTAGTAAAGATTAAATACTACACAATCCTAAAGAATAGAGAATTTTATTTGAATTTTTTAGTAGTAGCAGGTCCACCCGTACGCCATCAGAAAATCAAAATTTGGTAAAAACGAAAATAAAAATTTATTTCATCCAAATTTATTTAATCTAATCATCTGAAAATTACCAGAGTTCTAGTAGGGACTAAACCCTACACAATCCTGAAGAATAGAGAATTTTATTTAAATTTTTTAGTAGTAGCACCCACACCCGAACGCCATCAGACAATCATAATTTGATAAAAAGGAAAACAAAAATTTATTTTATCCATATTTATTTAATCTAATCATCTGAAAATTACCAGAGTTCTAGTAGGGACTGAACCCTACACAATCCTAAAGAATAGAGAATTTTATTTGAATTTTTTAGTAGTAGCAGGTCCACCCGTACGCCATCAGACAATCAAAATTTGGTAAAAACGAAAATAAAAATTTATTTCATCCAAATTTATTTAATCTAATCATCTGAAAATTACCAGAGTTCTAGTAGGGACTAAACCATACACAATCCTGAAGAATAGAGAATTTTATTTCAATTTTTTAGTAGTAGCACCCTCACCCGAACGCCATCAGACAATCAAAATTGGTAAAAACGAAAATAAAAATTTATTTCTTTCAAATTTAAAAAATCTAATCATCTGAAAATTACCAGAGTTCTAGTAGGGACTGAACCCTACACAATCCTAAAGAATAGAGAATTTTATTTGAATTTTTTAGTAGTAGCAGGTCCACCCGTACGCCATCAGACAATCAAAATTTGGTAAAAACGAAAATAAAAATTTATTTCATCCAAATTTATTTAATCTAATCATCTGAAAATTACCAGAGTTCTAGTAGGGACTGAACCCTACACAATCCTGAAGAATAGAGAATTTTTTTTGAATTTTTTAGTAGTAGCAGGTTCACCCGTACGCCATCAGACAATCAAAATTTGGTAAAAACGAAAGTAAAAATTTATTTCATCCAAATTTATTTTATGTTATCATCAGAAAATTACTAGAGTTCTTGTAGGGACTGAATACTACACAATCCTGAAGAATAGAAAATTTTATTTAAATTTTTTAGTAGTAGCACCATCACCGGAACGCCATCAGACAATCATAATTTGTTAAAAAGGAAAATAAAAATTTATTTTATCCAAATTTATTCAATCTAATCATCAAAAAATTACCAGAGTTCTAGTTGGAACTAAACCCTACACAATCCTAAAGAATAGAGAATTTTATTTGAATTTTTTAGTAGTAGCAGGTCCACCCGAACGCCATCAGACAATCATAATTTGTTAAAAAAGAAAATAAAAATTTATTTTATCCAAATTTATTCAATCTAATCATCTGAAAATTACCAGAGTTCTAGTAGGGACTGAACCCTACACAATCCTGAAGAATAGAGAATTTTATTTCAATTTTTTAGTAGTAGCACCCTCACCCGTACGCCATCAGACAATCAAAATTTGGTAAAAACGAAAATAAAAATTTATTTCATCCAAATTTATTTAATCTAATCATCTGAAAATTACCAGAGTTCTAGTAGAAACTGAATACTACACAATCCTGAAGAATAGAGAATTTTATTTCATTTTTTTAGTATTAGCACCCTCACCCGAACGCCATCAGACAATCATAATTTGATAAAAAGGAAAATAAAAATTTATTTCATCCAAATTTATTTAATCGAATCATCTGAAAATTACCAGAGTTCTAGTAGGGAATGAACCCTACACAATCCTGATGAATAGAGAATTTTATTTCAATTTTTTAGTAGTAGTACCCTCACCCGTACGCCATCAGACAATGAAAATTTGGTAAAAACGAAAATAAAAATTTATTTTCTATAAATTTATTTTATGTAATCATCTGAAAATTACCAGAGTTCTAGTAGGGACTGAACCCTACACAATCCTGAAGAATGGAGAATTTTATTTGAATTTTTTAGTAGTAGCACCATCACCGGAACGCCATCAGACAATCAAAATTTGGTAAAAACGAAAATAAAAATCTATTTCATCCAAATTTATTCAATCTAATCATCTGAAAATTACTAGAGTTCTAGTTGGAACTAAACCCTACACAATCCTAAAGAATAGAGAATTTTATTTGAATTTTTTAGTAGTAGCAGGTCCACCCGTACGCCATCAGACAATCATAATTTGTTAAAAAGAAAAATAAAAATTTATTTTATCCAAATTTATTTAATCTAATTATCTGAAAATTACCAGAGTTCTAGTAGGGACTGAATACTACACAATCCTGAAGAATAGAGAATTTTATTTCCATTTTTTAGTAGTAGCACCATCACCGGAACGCCATCAGACAATCATAATTTGTTAAAAAGGAAAATAAAAATTTATTTCATCCAAATTTATTTAATCTAATCATCTGAAAATTACCAGAGTTCTAGTTGGAACTAAACCCTACACAATCCTAAAGAATAGAGAATTTTATTTGAATTTTTTAGTAGTACCCGTACGCCATCAGACAATCAAAATTTGGTAAATACGAAAATAAAAATTCATTTCATCCAAATTTATTTAATCTAATCATCTGAAAATTACCAGAGTTCTAGTAGGGACTGAACCCTACACAATCCTGAAGAATAGAGAATTTTATTTAAATTTTTTAGTAGTAGCAGGTTCACCCGTACGCCATTAGACAATCAAAATTTGGTAAAAACGAAAATAAATATTTATTTCATCCAAATTTATTTAATGTAATCATCTGAAAATTACCAGAGTTCTAGTAGAGATTGAATACTACACAATCCTGAAGAATAGAGAATTTTATTTGAATTTTTTAGTAGTAGCACCCACACCCGAACGCCATCAGACAATCATAATTTGATAAAAAGGAAAATAAAAATTTATTTTATCCAAAGTTATTTAATCTAATCATCTGAAAATTACCAGAGTTCTAGTAGGGACTGAACCCTACACAATCCTAAAGAATAGAGAATTTTATTTGAATTTTTTAGTAGTAGCACCCTCACCGGAACGCCATCAGACAATCAAAATTTGGTAAAAACGAAAATAAAAATTTATTTCATCCAAATTTATTCAATCTAATCATCTGAAAATTACCAGAGTTCTAGTAGGGACTGAACCCTACACAATCCTGAAAAATAGAGAATTTTATTTCAATTTTTTAGTAGTAGCACCCTCACCCGAACGCCATCAGACAATCATAATTTGATAAAAAGGAAAATAAAAATTTATTTTATCCAAATTTATTTAATTTAATCATCTAAAAATTACCAGAGTTCTAGTAGGGACTGAATACTACACAATCCTGAAGAATAGAAAATTTTATTTCAATTTTTTAGTAGTAGCACCCTCACCTGAACGCCATCAGACAATCATAATTTGATAAAAAGGAAAATAAAAATTTATTTTATCCAAATTTATTTAATCTAATCATCTGAAAATTACCAGAGTTTTAGTAGGGACTGAACCCTACACAATCCTAAAGAATAGAGAATTTTATTTGAATTTTTTAGTAGTAGCAGGTCCACCCGTACGCCATCAGACAATCAAAATTTGGTAAAAACGAAAAATAAAA